CTAATGAGTTGGGGAAATATTACCTATAATCTCACCAATTTTGAACCTAAAATCCCATCAATTTCTCCACCGAAAGCCTATAAACCAAAACTTGTCCCAAGTTGGTACTAAGACCTTAGAACCACAATAACTTAGATTTGTTGGTTGATTTCAATTTACCTTTTGTTTCGAAATTAGTTGAGACCAGACAAAAAAAGTTAAATTTTTTAAATCTATCGATTATGTCGTGACAAATTTAGAATTCAGACGATTCATCATAAGGAATAGAAAACAGTTCAACAAAATCAAAAATTAGTTTGTTTTTCAAGCATTTTGTGAACAATGACAGTATCCCTGAGACAAAAGACTTGTCACCCAAAAAAAAGGGACCAAAATAGTTGATCTATGAAGATCTCTCAAAGCTTTCTTACTTGCTGCTCTTTCACCTGAATGTTTAAATATCTACAGAATCATGCAAGTACTTGCAACTATGCCCATAGTAGCATCTTCCTTGAGCATAAAAGTGGCAAGGCTTCTTTTGTTCCTCGCGCTGTCCTTGAAATGGACGCTTTCCATTCCTTGCTTGCCAATTCTCAGTTCTTTGTGGAGATTTATAGTTTTGTGAATACATATGACCATGTCCTCGAAATGGACTTCTACTAGTATTGCAGTTGTTGTAGCTTCCATCGCTATAGCCCCTCCATGTTGGAATATTATAATTGTTTGTGTTACCTCCATAGCTAGGGCCCCTCCACATTGGCATATGCCTATTTGAGTTATGCATATGCCTATTTGAGTTATGCATATGCATATTTGAGTTATGCTTCTCCCTGTTTCTAGGATCATTCAGGTTCACATTAGTCAAAGGCTGCCTCTGATTATGCCTTTCTTCTGGCCTATTTTCTCTAGGGTAGACATTTTCCTGTATGACTACATTTGTATAGTTTCTGAATTGCTTTTGTTCATCTTTTTGGCTGTTGTACACCACTTCTACCTGAGGCTGATCATTCTTGTTTAAGGAGTTCATCGAGTGAGAATGCAGCTGTTTCCCTTTACTCTCAGCTACTGTTTTCTTCTCCTTGTAATCTGTGTTTACCCTGAGATATTTAGACATAACAATGATTCAAATGTTCAAAATCAAGTGAAGTTGGCATATTTCATAAGTTCATTCTACCAATCTGCTTACTAGAATGACCAAATTATCATGGTACCTTTTTTCCCTTTGCATCTTTCGCAATTCCTTCTCTTGGACACGTGTTTCCCTGCTAGACCGAGCTACGGAGCCTCTGGCATGCTTTTCTGATAAAATTTTCTGCCGTTCTGCTTCATCGTCCCATTTCTTCAAATGCAATATATGATTCATTAACATATGTTGCAGGAACAATAAGTGCAAGTACTAGAAATTCTTAGTACTGTTCAGCAGACCTGTCGCAATGTTTTTAATCTATAGAGGTTTCTGCCCTTAATGAGGAGAGGATGAAGTGGAGGCAGCGGTTTTTCCCCTTTACTCCACAATACCTCAACCTGACCAACAGTAAAAAGAATCTTACATGAAACAAACAAGATGAAACAATACAAGAAGTGTATGTCCATCGAAGCCAAATAAAAAGAAGAAACGAAAACAGAAATGGTTAAGTCAAATAATTGTTGTTATCTACAAAGAACTTAAGTCGAAAATAACAACTTCTCATTCCTCTTCTTGTTACCAAGAGTTCAATCTAAATTGATTGCTTTTAAAAGCTCACCGTAAAGGTATGCTGCTGCCTTTTAGCACCATAGCTCTCCTTCACAATCCGCCCTGCTATTATTCTTGTTCCACAGGGAGGGCCAGTAGCACTCCTGGATGCAATGCTGAACCTGATGAACCACAATCATAAACCTGCTAAGTACATGCACGCATACTGCTTCTTCCCTAATAAATGTCTAATAGGGAACTGAAGAGAATTATACATGACACATCTGCCACTAGTTATTCGCAGCCTTTAGAAGTGCATAAACGAAGACCTAAAGATGCTTACTACCACTTGTTAGAGCTTCGAGCTTACATTTCATATACATTTTGTTCAAACATAACAACATCCCCAGTGCACGCGTCCCCTGCATAATACAAAAAGTATAGATGAAAATGACAAGTCCAGAAAGTTCCAATTCATTGCTGAAATTTTAATGCTAGATTCCACTAGGAACGCCAGACGCAAGGTGAGAGATATGTGACTTTTCAGCAGATAGATAAACTTTGACTTGGTTATTTTCAAGGGACTAACGATCATAAATGTTTGCTACAATAAAACTATATCCACTTAAATATTCTATACATAGCAAAACATCTGTACCTTTGCAGTTCAATACAAAACTAGATGGGGGATACTTTTCCTCTCCACGACCATCGAGGATGCTGAAATACAATAGAATTTGCTTTAAGTATAAAAGTTTTGATCATTAAAAAATAAAAGCTGAATAAACTGAAATTGGGAAATTACTCAGTGTGCTCTTTAATGCGCTGGATAAGTGTATCTTTGGTACCCGTCAATCTCAGCCCGTGTTTCCTTAGGTAAACCTTGCATTGCTCCACTTTCAATTTCTCAATCTGACCAGCTGCCACCAAGTAGAAGCAGAGACAAAAAGAAGGATGCAATCATTGTAATCTTTCGGAAAATGAGAAGATGATCGACGGACACAAAGTTTAGGCAGTAACAATCATCTCAAAGTCTTGTATGTCATAGAGCAAGAAAGATACTGAATAATTTTCTCTTACTCTAAAGATTTTTCTTACTGAAAGGAAAAATCTGCAACATCATAAAAAAGCTCATTTGGTCTTACAATTTATATACCAAATGAAGACAAACTTTCATGAATAACCATATCTTTGCATAGGGGAGTGTCTTAACAAGTGTATACTTAAAATAAAATGTCTCATACATGAATTTTTTATAGCTTTCATATAAAAGAACACTACCATATTTTTAAGGTTTACACAACCAATAATCACACCACCAGAGGATGTGGTGGGATCCTTGAATTTGTGCCCTGCAATTGGAGAAATACATATGGAGCTCCGGGGGCGGAACTAGTAAGGGCCAAGGGAGGAAATTTACTCCGTTTATATAAAATTATCTTTTACATATATATATAATATAGGTTGAACTCCTTTGGTCTTTTCGTGTGTTAGATGTTTTATACTTCGAACCCACTTAGTGAAAATCACAGCTCCACAACTGAGGAGCTCTTCCTCCTAAATTGACTCATACGTTGTGCAAATCTGAATTAGTCGGACTAGTGAGTTTCGGATACTAGATAGTCAGATAAAAAAGAACCAATAATAATCACCAAGATTGAAAGCTACCATATCAACATGTAAATTAAAAAACAAAACAATGTTACTGAAAAAAACCTTTGATTATCTTCTGAACAGTTTCATAGCTTTTTTTATCCTTCTCATCAAGCTCTGGTACTATCTCGTCCAGATCCTTCTCTTCCTCAACGCAATCTTCCAATGTCTTAGAAACATTCCGCCTACATTTTCGCAACAACACGAAAAATCAACATCTCATTGTCATTTCTTTGGGGGAAATTGAAAACTAATATGTTTTTTTAGGAGAATCGAATCAAGGGATTGTACCTGGCAGACATATCCATAGATTTCTGTTTTTTGATTGAGAGTTTTGAAAGAGAGGATTGTGTCTCCTCAAGAAGATCAAAAGTTGGATCATCTAGCGAATCATCGGAATCGTAGTCGCTATCGCTTTCCGATACATCGTACGGCTGCTCGGAATCCATTTTTTGATTTCTGGATGATGATGCTTGAAGAGCTCTCTGTTGATTGTTGATTTCTTTGCTCATGAAATTATTGTTCAAATAGGGTTTTAATTTGAAAATATTACCGTTGTTGAGTGGATTGTGTTTCCGAAATTTGTACTCTAATTGCTGCTTGATTGGACTGTTCTCCGCATCGATAAAGTTTGGCATGGACCTGAATGGCAGAATCAGAGACTTGAGGCTCAAAGTGACAGATACCCAATTTTAGGATAAGACAGTCTAACTAACGGGTTGTTTGGGAGAATGTATAAAAATAATGTTAAATATGGTGTAATAATAATACTAACATTATTAATGTTTGAGCTCGTTATGCTGAAGTGTTTGGTTTGGGAAAATGTATAAAAATAATGTTGAATATGGTGTATAAATTTAATTCTAAGAAAAAATATCATTTACAAAAATATTCTCTACAAATATGATGGAAAAGACGTGAAAAAGGTTTAAAGGGACAATTGTGTCTTTAATCATGCTAATGTATGTATTAAAATACTTGCATTACCAAATAGAGTGTATAAAATGCTTGCATTAGTTATATAAACAAGATACTACTCACTTTGTCCCTAATTACTTGTGGACTTTTCCTTTTTTAGTTGTCCCTGATTACTTGTCAATTTTGACAAATCAAGAAAGGATACATTTTTTTTTACCTATTATGCTACCCTCAATTAATTACTTTGAAAAAGGTAGAACTTTTTGAAAATCTTAAGTTTTTAATTCATTCACTTCATAATTAATAATTAATAGGAGTAAAATGATAAATTCACTATGTCAATCATTATTTTCTTAATAAATGAGTCAATTCAAAAGTGGACAAATAATTAGGGACTGAGGAAGTAGTAAATAATAGGCATACACAAAGGTATACTATATTATTACACAAAGGTAATGTGTGTACTATTTTTTTTCTAATTCTCTCTACCAAATGACCCCAAGTTTTTTATAAATATTGTGAATTTGACTACTTTAAGATCAACTTCAGAAAACTGGAAAAAAAAATCCGAGTTTAAAGTTACAAAAGCCAGAGATACAAATTTTAAGTTAAGCTTGAAACTTCAGACAATTTGAAAGCTAGCAAACTTCCGATTGGTTTTGCCTGAGGTTTGGATTGACAGGTCTAATTTGGTCGGGAAGTCCCAAACTCTTTATATTCAGAATTCATGTTATGCACTTCTACCCGTTCACCGGAACGAATCAAAATAGTAGACAATAAGGCTACCACTGTAATTTACAAACATATACTAAAGTAGCTAAAACGGCATTTCAGAATTACAAATACCTATTGGAAGGCAAGTTTTGTTGATGAGTACTAAGAAAAATACATGCTGAGCTATTCATATTAAATATCATTTCTCAAGTATTAGCGACATTCAGTCGTCATGGTTCACATCCCCTGTTCTACATTATCAAAGTGACATGTCTTGAATCTCCCCATCCGCAGAAAACAAAGGCCACTGTGGTCATGTCAGTTGCCCACTGTCCGATGCTGGAGTAACATCATTTCTAAGCTGTACATTTGATGGCAGCATCACCAAATCTTGTTTTTAACCCAGAAGAGGAGACTAACAACTCCAATGACAATAGCAACGGGAGCCCACTTCCGTATCAGAGCCTTGAGTCATGAAGAAATGGATCAGTCACCAAACAGATTTAAGTTCAAACATCAGACTAAATGCATGTACATAACGAGAAAAAGAGTGAAAGAAAGCCCAGCCCATCTGATACCATGGTTGCTCATCTTCATTAGTGTCTGGGTCTAAGACACCCAAGCCTAGAACAAGCCCATTCACATGTTGATTTATCATAGCCTTAAGCACAAATAGTCCACCAGGGATTTGAACTTGAGACCTCACGGTTCTCAACCCACCTCATTGACCACTAAACCACACCCTTGGGTGTTCAATCAAGTATCTCTTCAAGAATAGAAAACATTCTCACACTGTCAGCACTCAGCAGAACCAGTCAAGCTCTATAATCTTCAACAAAATCTTGATACATGGTAGGTTTTAAAAATGCCAATAAACATTGTTTGAGCAGCTTATATAATTTTCTACCACCCCCCAGAAAAAAGAACATGCAAGCGCAAGAGAACTTAAGAGAATGAACAGCAAATTTCATGTTCCCTCAGATCTGTGTACGGCACCCCTTCGCATTCCCGACACTCAAAAGGTAGAAGTAACAATACCACACAAGAATTTAAGTGCATCATCTTGAAAAACGAATGACACTAACCTGACGATTCAAATCTCTCGCCTTATCAGCATATATGCGGGATTCTGATGTCAAACGGCTGGACATCTGACTGACCTCTGCAGAATTTGATGTTTAAACAATCAGGTCACTAACCGTGAAAAAAATTACATGATACTAAATCAATGCACAAGAAGGGTGAAAACAGAAGGGCAACCATATTATTAGAGTATAATTGTCGATCTATATCAAAGCTATGAGTCACCAGTGGTTGGAAATTCATATCACAACTGACTCAGCGCTTAATTTTATCTGTGCACAGGTATATGCTGCAGCATTTTGCACAAGCAGTATAGCTTGTCTCAGCATTTGATCCAAAATCTACTTTTTCTTAGTATAAAGACTTTCAAGATAAAATCTCATCTCACAACTACCACATGTTACACCTTTGAATCATACAACAAAAAGAGGGATACAAGTGCATAGTTGCCACCAGCTTCTAGTAGACAGATCATCTTTATAACTTACATGCACTAGATGATACTAAGTTTCTCCAGGTATAAGGAGCTCAATTCTGACCTAAGCAATCCTAACTAAAAATGTATGGGTCGTTTCTTAATCTGTGAGTGTGTGTGTGGGGGGGGAGGGGGGGTTAAGTTGGAGCACTTCATATCGTATTCTAGAATTCAACAGGCTGACATGAAACATACCAATCATTTTAAATGAATTTGCAAAAGATTTACAGATAAAGAGCTCAGAAAAATGTTGGAATGAGAAACTTACGGTCCAATTTTTCACCAACACCAAGAACTTCTTGTACATTTCGAGTCATTATCTGATGAACTTCATAAAGTTCATCATTCAACTTTGCAACATTGCGTTGAGTTCTGGTATCCTGGTACAGTTTCTTCGTCTTCTGTATGAATGTATCTTTTAAAAATAGGGAAAATAATATATTGGAAGAACAGAAAATTAGTTTTTAACAAAAGGAAATTGGAAAATTGAAAAAGGATAGTGTAAAGGAAAATGCTTACCAAATTTGATAAAGGCATAAGGTCTAGCAGCAGTTTCAATTTGACTTCCATTAACACGCTCAAACTCAGTCTTAAGGTCTTCTAGGTACTGAAAGGCAAGTTTCTTTGGATAAGAGCGATCACACATTGTCAGATAGCAAATGCGCCCTTCAATGATATAGCTGAGAACTTGGGTTAAGAAAACAGTACATTCACATTTCCCATAAGGCACATTTACAATTGGGTTGAGAGGACACAAAATAGAGCTAGTGGTGATTTAGAAAGTAAGCAAATGAAATAGCAGCAGCAATAGAGAAAACTTGGAAAGTCACAATCCACATCATCCCAAAGATTTCACATTCTGATGGTCCTAAATTTTAATAGAAGCTTGGTGATATTTATTATTCTCTTGGTTATTTTCTTTTGGGTATTATAACTCCCAATCCTCCATCCCAGGATATAAAGAGTGGTTCCCACAGTGCTCCCTTGGTGACCCGAACCTCCAAGCTCATGATTAAAGTTGGACGCCCTTTCCACTAGACTACGCCTCCCTTGTCCTTTGGTGCTATCCATAAATCCAGAAAAGAATTAGTCACAAGTGCTTATAAAACATAGTAAATGCATATCAAGTGGAGAAGCTACTAAGCAGACAAAAGAAATAGATCTGCATAAGCGATATCGACAAACTTCTTTTTTGTTCCTTTTGTTGGTTTTATTTTTAACTGCATCATCCATATTTATCAGCATATGTATATACATCCAATATGGGAATTTCACTTATCAAAAGAATTAAGCTGGAGGAAACCTCATTAATTGTTTAGTACCTGATCCTAGTTTTCCCGGAAACTCACAACAATAAGAATAACAGAGTCCATCATAGAGTTTTCTTTAAATTACAAAAATAAAACTACAATACAGATTTTGCTTCTTTTGATAGGCATCCTAAATGGAATCTTCAAATTGAAAAACTCTGTAGACTGTTTCCACATAGAATTGCGATGATGACTCATTACAAGTTGGCAGAAGAGCAGAAAGAGGGCCAACTGAATGTTCGAGAAGTTCCTAACAACTACGCCCCCGCCCCGAAACTAAAAGAAGAAAGATTCACCAAGTTTGTAAAGAAAGCTTTTTCTTTACTAGAGAGGAAAATCAAGGAATCATAGTTTGAGCATAGGTAACTCAGTGAGGCAATTAGGAAAAGACCAGTAAGTGCATGAACTTACTTACCTTGCAGTCATCTTGTTGAACAAAGAAGTTATTACTAATTATTTACAGAAATTTCCATTTAGCATCCGAAGAGATGTAAATAGTACTGTAAATAAAAACAATATGGAAACAATAAGAGGATACTGGAAAATGTAAGGTCCACTTTCAATGGACATCCTTGATGCCTCATTATGGCCCATAGAGAGGTTCTTGAATAAGGACTTGACTTGCTGTTTGTAGTAATCAGCATCTGGAACATCACGGCTATCATCCAGCCCCTCAGCTAATGGAAGGCCATCCGTTACACGAGCAATCATAGTCAACTTCACCATCTTCCTTAAACAAGCGAACAACTACAAGCAACCAGAAAAAGGTAGACGTTAACAACCATATAGTTTGAATACATAGAAACTACAAATTTTCCATGCTTTTCGGCTGCTAATTCCAAAACCTTGGATCAAGACTTATTGGACACAAAGTTCCTAGTTTACATGTATACTCATAGAGTTCTCAGCTCACTGCCTACTTAAGGGTGTATATGAGTGAGAGGGTGAGAGAGACAAAGAGAGTATCTTTATTAATTAAGTTGTTTATCTCAAAGTTTGTCCTCTACACACTACAGCTTTTTAACTCGTATTCGGAAGTTTTTACTATTTTGATCTTGTTTGATAATTAGCCTGAGATCTGATTTAGACTTTAAGCATATGTTTCAGAAAATTTACGTTTGCACCAAGTGCGTCAATCAAAAATTGTAAAGCATGCACAACTTCCTTAAATCACTATTCAATGTACAAGTTCTTCAGTGCAAGAAAGAATCGCAATGAAAAGTACCAACTCCAAGATAGATGAACCCAAGTGCTCGAGTTATAGAGCTTCAGATGATGAATAGAAAACTTGATCCTGGTATGGCAACGAAGACAAAATAGTGCATCAATTAGAGCCATTCAAACGTGAAGAATGCAAAAAGAAGCAAATGATTTTCAATCAATTTAGCACTACATATCTTTAGGTTCAGTCAGCCTCTAGAGTCCAACCATATTCTAGTGGTATTCATCTCATTCCTGCTCTAACAGGCCCACAAATGATATTAACTTATGTATTATGCCCTAATCAATGCAAAAGTTTGCTACCTTACCTATTAAAACAATAACATCAACAACAATGCATTGCTCAAGTAACCAATTTCAACAGACAATATAGAGGGTCTCATGGGTCCATCCAATGTTGAAGCACAGATCTTCATAGAAAAGATTTTTCCCGCAACGCCTTCCCCGTGAACTTCTTACTCTAAAGAGCTGCTCAATCATCAACTATACCTCAATCCCATATCAGCTGGAGCCGACTGTGAATTTGTCGAATACACAATTCAGCTCTATTCAGGCGCATTTCATTCTAATACTAAATAATTTGCTCATTTGGGCAATTTTAGGATATTTTTTCATTTTAGTAGTGGAAACACAGAATTTTGCATACTTTACAGCTAAGAGCCAAAGACCGTTATGCAATCTAACCGAACATATCAAATCTGAGCTAAAATCCGATTAAAATAGGTTTCCTATCAAATGTCGCGGATATTCATCACAAAATGAAAGTAACCTAAACTGAGGAAATTGCATGAGAACACAAAAGGGAAACAAGCATATTTTACATAAATAAATTGAGAGAATTATGTGCGTATATCAAATTACGCACCTATCATACGCGTCCGTGCAGCCTTTGTTGGTTGATCTGTTGAACTTCCGATCGCCGGTTTCCTATTTTGTATGATCCTCTCGTGAACTCCGATCGGTTTCAGCGAAATGAAGGTTGTAATGAATGGGAATTGGGATCGGATTCAGGGAATCGGGTAAATACCCGTCTTCACAAGTATTTCATGGGTCGGAGTATTTTGTGAAATTATTTTATTATATTTTTTATATGAAATATTTAATTTAGTATAAATGATGAATAAAATAATTTCAATTTGTTAATATCTTAAATTAAATATGGGATAAAATTATTTAAATTTTATGAGAGATTATTATTCTTATCTCACATATCAAATCATCTCTATGAATGATTATTTAGATTTTAAAATTTTAATAATCCTACTTAGGGTGTTTATGATTTGGTTTAAAATACCCTCTTATTGATGTTTTAATTTGGATTGTGATACTATCACTAATTTTACAGAGTTTTTGTTTGATATTAGTAGTACAATTTCGGCAAACAAAGATGAGGTAAGGTATCAACGTAATTTCACAATGTTTTTTTTTTTAAAAAAAAAAGACATATTTGTACCAAAAAAAGAAGTAAAAAACAAACATATTTCATTGTTTATTCGAAAATAATCTCTCTCTCCACGAGATAGTGATAAGTTTGTGTACACTCTACCCTCTCCAAATTCCACTTATGGATTTCAGTAGGTATGTTGTTTGTTTATTAATTACTCATGTGGAATGTTTAGGCTCCATTTGAACAAATAAGTAAATGAAGTTTGAAAAAAAAAAAAAGTTTTTGAAGTTAAAATTTGAGGTTCTTGGAAGATTGAAATTGAGTGTCTATATGAGAGAGGAGGGGAGAGTATTCTGCTTGAAGCAGACAACATATATATATGCATTAAGCATATTATCAAAAAAAGAAAAAATACATTAAGCAAATCATGAAATCAAAACGTTCCCTAATTATAAATACAAATACAACAACATAGCCAGTGAAATCCACGGGTGGGGTCGGGTAGAATGTACGCAGACCTTACCACTACCTCGTGAAGCTAGAGAGGTTGTTGCCGAAATACCCCACCATAAACACAATTAACTCTACTAAATCTGCAACAGAGCTTTATTTACAAGAACTGGCACATCAACCACCATCTAAACAATTAGTACTAACATTCATTCACGCGAAACCATCACAACTTGCTTTCCAATATTGCGACCAGAGAAGAGACCAACTAGAGCACTCGGAGCACTTTCGAGACCTTCAGCTACGTCTTCCACGTACACAACCTTACCAGCCTTGATTTGCGGAATGATCATTTCCAAATATTTAGGGTAAAGATGATAGTAATCAAAGACAAGAAATCCTTCCATGCGGATTCGTTTTGAGATGAGACAGAACAAGTTGTGCACTCCTTCAGTCTGCTCAAGGTTGTATTGTGAGATCATCCCACACACAGCAATACGACCATGGATTTTCATATTCAGAAGAACTGCATCAAGCATCTTCCCTCCAACATTCTCAAAGTAGATGTCGATTCCATCAGGGAAGTACCTCTTCAAAGCTGCGTCTAAATCCTGCTCCTCTTTGTAGTTAAAAGCTTCATCAAAACCAAACGTGCTCTTCAACCGATCAACCTTTTCTTTACTTCCAGCACTACCAACAACATAGCAACCCAACATCTTTGCAAATTGCCCAACAAGCTGACCAACTGCTCCGGAAGCAGCTGAAACAAAGACAGTTTCTCCCTTTTTAGGAGAGCAAACCTCGTAAAAACCAGCATAAGCAGTCAGACCAGGCATACCGAGGATTCCTGTATAGTAGGAAATAGGCACATCCTTGTCACGAATTTTAAACAAAGTCGGAGTAGCTGTTACAATACTATACTCCTCCCATCCAGTCCTTCCCAAAACTAAATCACCTTTCTGGAAGTTCGAATCACCAGACTCCAAAACTTTAGCCACTCCATATCCCGTGATAGGAGAGCCAGGAGTGAAGGACTCAACATAGCCCCCCTCAAATTTCTTCATGCGGTTACGCATGTAAGGGTCACATGACAAGAAAAGATTCTTCAAAACCATAGCATTAGAACCTTCTGGAACATTCAATTTAATGGTGGTACTATTGAATTCCATGTCCGATTCCTTAAGGTAACTGGTGACATAGTGTTTCAGAATGACCTGTTTGTTGCTCACTTCTTCTGCCATTTCTTGCTTCTTCCGTGTTCAATGCGAATGAAGGGTTGTGGTAGAAGTGATAATTGTTCCTGAGATCCATTTTCGCGTTGAGCATGAAGTTTCAAAAAATCATCCAAGTGCAGTATTCAAAATTTGTGAAGGATGTAGGACATCCTCTACACAAAAACTCGTTTTAAATTAACATAGCTAACTGCTAAGCAATAAAATCATTTTTCCCCCCCATTTTCAATTAATTTGTATACCATCATCTAAAGAAAAAAGTGACAAAACAAATCGGGGTGAAGTGAGTATTCCGTTGTATGATTCTTGTACTACTCCCAAGAACGCTAGGAAATGATCAAATGAAGTGTTTTACAAATTGGGATCATATGATCTTGTCTGTATTTACAAGTTCTATTCATATTCTAGTAGCGTGGACAGGAGCTTGAAGTCATATAATTGTGTCATTAATGGGGGTACAATTTTAAGCCTAAAAATAACATCAAAGGAAAATTTAATTCAATAGGTGCCACAAGGACATTTTTGAGCAATTTTCAATATGTTAAGGACATATTTGACCCTTTTCTGTTAAAAAAAATAACATCAACTGCAAATGCAATATTAACAAGTTTGAACTAGCCAATTTCAATAAACAATCCATCCAATGTTGTCTTAGACCCTTCGGGGTGGCCCAGTGGTTTGAGCTTGGGACTTCCATGTTGGAGGTCTCAAGTTCGAAACCCCTTGCCAGCGAAAGCAAGGGGTTTGCCTTCTGGGTCGAGCTCGTCGCACCGGGCTTGCCTAGTGCGGGTTACCTCTCCTATGTGGTTTGCGAGCTATTGCATAGGAGCGGGGATTTTACCCTGTGCGCACCCAAAGGGTAGCGGCTGCGGGTTTCCCTTGTCATAAAAAAAAAAAAATGTTGAAGCTCTTAGAGGTTTTCATAAAATAGATTCTTCCTCGTTGAACTTTTCTCTAAGAGCTGCCCAACCGATCAACTATCCCCAACTGTGAATTTGTTGGATATACCATTCAGCTCTATTAAAGTGAATTTCATTCTAACATCTAAAGGTTATGACCTAATGGTCAATGAAGTGTACTGAGAACCATGAAGTCCCAAGTTCAAACTCCAACAAAAATACTTGTTGGTGGGAGGTGACAGTGACAGGTATCCTGTGGAATTAACTGAGGTGAATTTCATTCTAGTACTAAATAATTAGTTCATTAGGGCAATTTAGGATAAATTTTCATTTTAGTAGCACTTAGACTGACTTCAATGAAAACACAAAATTTTGAATACTAGTCATATCTACAACCAAGACATTTATGCAATCTAACTGAAAAAAATCAAATCTGAGTGTTATAAAAAAGCTTCCTGGGAATAATCATCACAAAATTGAAGTGACCTAAACGTACTGCAGAAATTTTATGAGAACATAATAGGCAAACAAACACATTTACATAAATAAATTGAAAGAATTATCAAGTTACCCTTTGTTTGGTGAACTGCTGTACTTTCGATCTTCGAATTTTGATTTTGTATGGTCCTCTCGTGAACTCCGATCAGTTTCAGCAAAATGAAGCTTGTAATGAATGGGAATTGGGATCGGCATACATGGAGTCAGATAAATGTTTACCCCTCTTCACAAATCACAAGTACTAGACTAAGGAGTAAGAATTTTGGATTTTTTTTTTTAAAAAAAATTGTGGTGGTGGTGGTGGTGCTAGTTCTGGTGTCCAACGTCTATATTGGAGTTAAAACTAAATTTAGATGGTTTGTAGTTGTAGTAATACTTTGGCTTTATTTGTTTTCATTAACAGTAAGATGTCTAAATATGAATGATTAAGATATTATTTTCAGTTTTGAACATTGAATAATTGAGAGGTTTATTTGAATATGGGTAACTTATTTATCTGTAAATGTATTCCATTCAAATAAAAAGTAATTGAATATTAAATATATATAGATTTAATACAATAAAATTATCACTTGATTTAAAAAAATATTGACGGCATAGTTAGTCAAATGAATATGTGGTGATTGAAGATGTGTTAGTGATGTTGCTAGTTGTGATGGTGGAGGTGGTTGGTCGTAGGGATCGACCACAACAGTAATAGTAACTGATAGTGGCGATGGAGCGTCAGTAATGATAGCAGTGGATATAATTATAATGATGGAGATGGTAGGTGTGACAACTATTGATAGTAATAGGTACTAATAATCTTGATGACAGAATGGTTAGAGTTCAGAACCTAAATGATGTGATTAAAAACCAAATGGACCAAATTAATGTACAAAAACAAAGTTCACAAAAACACACTTTTTAATGCGTTATACGAGACTTGGTTTACGACTTCCCTTAAAATCCGTTATTTGATATTTTATTATTTTGAAGGGATTACACAACGCACTATTACCTCAACATAATTTTTAATTAAATTGAATAATTATAAATTACTTGTCAAGAACTTGATCATAATTAGAATTCCCTTAAGAAGGGCACATACTCCTCTAATATGTTTATAAAATATTGTACTTATACTAACTTGCTGAGAATTTCTAAACTCACATGAGTTTACCCTAAGTCTTTCTTTTAGTATCTTTTCCCTCCAACATTTTAGATCTAAACGGGCCTCAGAAAATCTTAATTGACCACTATCAAGAACGTAAAGAAAGTAGGATAGACAGTTAATCAAATTTAATATAAATCACACGTGAACAATAAATAAAGTCGCGTCACATGATTCCTTCATCTAAGATTTCTTTGGAAGAGGACTACTACAACTTTTTTAAGACCCATAAGGTGGGTGGCCTGCCTTGCCTTTCTACTCTTTAATTAGGTTACATTTGGTCGAGAAATCTCATTATATATGGATTTCCTTTTTGGCTGCCAACTTCAACAGTCACCATAGCAAAATATTCATTTCTCCTTTGGCCTTTTCTGCATAATTGATTAAAATACACTACATTGGCCTAGTATATTTCCTAAAGCAAAATCAGCACAAAGATCAACCACCATCTAATCAGAAAGGTACTATTACAAAGTATTCCTTGTGGGATTCGTTTTCGTGAAGTATAATCCTATATATATATATATAAGTACTTTCATATAGATGTGTCATTTCCAGCATAATATGCTTCTCTAAAGCAAATAATATACGCGTTGATCCCTACTTAGTTGGAATCAGCTGCACTTGTTTCGTGCTATTCAGAAGTGTTCAGATGATTCGTCATAGTTAGGTGGACGATTAATTAAGCTGGAGAAGCAGGGCACATGCTGAATTACTTGAGACTATGATCTTGCAAGAATTTTGCATGTGCTCTAGCTCTCCAGCTTAATTCTCCCGCCAATTCCTGCATTCAAATCTCATGTTACGTTGAGTTCAGGTAAGTCCTCGTTAATTCAATATAGTCTTTAACCACCATTCTCTTCATGTACATGAAATATTAGATCTACAATTACTCGTGAATAAAGTAGCTCAATCGGCCTGAACATAAACCCAACTTGTGATATTTACAAAAATCAAGCTTTGATACGTACTATACATGTATAGAACGTATTACATTGAAATTGAAGAATGCTCTAACTGTCAATATTACAATAACATTAAGCCAGAGGGAACTGTTCTCTCAAGGCTAGAAACAATCTTATATACCGAAACAACAAGAAATAAAGCACAAGCAAGGCCTAACGAGCCCAATGATACGTATTATATATGTACAAGAATAAAGTGTATTTAGATGATTATAGGCTGTACATAGCACACACATACCTCAAGCTCTGGCTGAAAAAAATACTATGATTTGAAAATGTGTGTCATCAAGACAATTCCATGTGTTTTACATATCGCTGGAACCTTTGTCCTTCGAGGGACTTATCTTGGCTTCGAGTCCTTTCCTTTGCTTCTGAATGACGACAAAGAAAAGAATGATCTTGGAGCTGTGAAATGGTAAATAAATTAAAGTTAACATGTAAATACTTGAATTACTGAAGCACAAAAACTTGTACAAGCTTCAAACTGATTTGTGCAATACAAAATATTGAAAAGTTCAAGATTTGTTAAATATCTGATGATATACTGTTTCATTGTTGATCAATGTAATACATCTTTAAGGCATTGGCTAATAAGAAAGACATATAAGATGATGATGAAACAACTGTACTTCTTATGCTTCTCCCTTCGTTTCAATTTGTTTGTTTAGTTTTGTCTTAACATGGAGCTTAAGAAAGTAAAGAAACTTCTAAATCTTGGTGGTTTTAAACTAAAGATAAATATACTAAATGTCCTTTAATCTTGTGGTCTTAAACATGTCATTGAAACTAAAGAGTTGTCAAAAAGGAAAGATGCTTCCTTTTTGAAACGGACTAAAAAGAAAGTAAGTCAAACAAATTGAAACAGAAGAAGTAATAGATAGGGGAGTACACTTTGACTCAGGAAGTATATAGATAGTTGCATAAAAAAATGAGAGCTGCTGTGCACAATTGGTTTTTTTAAGGTTATGAAGCTAAGTGTCAACTACGCCGATGGAGGCTCCTACTCTTTTGTTTCTTCTAATGGTGGAATTTATAGGATTAAACAGAAAACACAGAAAAATAAGTTGAAAAACACCAATTATATTCTAAATGTTCACCCTTTATTGAGCTTCCTGATAAATGATTCTCCCTCGGTTTGAAGTTAGCTGGAGGTGCCGGAATAGACCTGTGCAAGGATTGAACTGCCAGAAATAAAGTACATTGAGTCAGTTAATTAAAATCAATGAGCTTCAGACCAAAAGTTGTAAAGGATTATTGAATAATAAGATCACATGAAAAGATGTTGAGATAAGCAAAATAAAATAGAAAAAAAACATTAACTTGACACCTTCCCAAAGATGCTCATTTACATCTACATGCTTCAAGTATAACAAACAATTGCAACAGTTGTTTGTTATTATTCAGATAAGTCCGATTAGAAACAATTAACAACTAAAGAAGTTTAATCAATTTTCGGGAAGCCATTGAATATCAATCAAAAGGAAACATCATATCTTACCTCGTTCGTTTAAAAGCACATCCTCATATAAGTTATCATTAGAGCAATGGCGACTATCATGTCCATTTCTTGTGCAATCATCTCCTTTAGAGGTAGTTGCAGCAATCCAGTCTTTAACCAGACTATCTGCGTCAGGGTTTTTCCTCCCAAACTTTAGTAATCGCTTAAATCCTCTGGTCTTATCCTTCCGTGAAAGACTTTGAGAAGATTTTATGATATTGATTGGATTCTGACCTGTCGTTCCCCATTTCTTCCTCGTTCTAGTAGCACCATTCGCCTGTGTTGAACTCAGAAAATGTGAATCCCAGGATGTAGGACTTCCCACAGGAGAGTCTAAAGCATCAACATCAGACATCTCATGAGTCTGTGAGATAGGACTATTTAGGAAGTTGGCAGGCACAGAAGAAGGTGAATATCCGGCTTCCGAAGCATAGCAAACTTGAGAAAGTGATCTCAGTAAACGTCTATTTTCTGGTCCAGGATTTTTCTTCTCCATCTCATGACTCGGTCTTGGTGCCCCAATATCAAAATTTTCCTCAACTGCAGATATCATGTTCTCAAATTCATCCACATCTCTACCCATTGAGTCCTCAGAATCCAATTCCATGTCATCAACATCCTCATCATCGTTGTGCGTAAACGTAGATGCAATGTTAGAACCCCTTGTTGTCTCAGTCAAACCACCTCTTGAACTGAAATCAGCATCTTTTCCCTTCTTTAGTGAAGTCTTTGTATCCAAAATGTTGGAAAATTTATCACTGAGACTCTGTCCCATCTTGTCCTTCACAGATTTAGGAGGTGCTGACATTACACACTTAGGACTTTGTTCCATTTTGTCTTTGTCAAATTTGAGAGGTGCCAACATAACACCCTCAGAATTCATAGCAGAGCTTTTTCTTAAGGACTGTGAGTGCAGTAATTTGCTACGCGAATAAGGTGCACGAGGAGTTGTTTTACCAGCTGGAGAATAAGGCTGAGCATTTTCCTTTCTCATGTAAGACAAGTTTGGAACGGATTGTGCAAGTGGACTTTCAGCTTGAGATTTTCGCCGACTGGAAGGACTACTAGAAACCTTCATAGGAGACCTCGGAACAGATGCTACTATGTTCCGAGGTTTGGATGAAGGTTTGATTGGTAAATTTTGTTTCTTCGTTGGAGTAGTAGTATGCTTAGAAACTTCTTCCAAAGATGTTTCACTAGAAGACCTGAGTACATCATTCCTCTTCTGATTCATGAATTCAGACATATCTTCTCTATCATCACATTGCTGAAAGAGTACTGATTGTTGCTGTCAAATGGAATTCAATATTCGTGACAAGATTAAAGGAAAAAAAATAACCTAATCAACTCTAGGATTTAACAAGAAACAGAAATGCCTACATACTGTGAGTGAAAATTGTTGAATCTATACAACAACAACAATAATATACCCAGTGTAATCCAACAAATGGGGTCTAGGAAGGGTAAAGTGTACGTAGACCTTGGTACAGAGGTTACTTTCGATAAACCCTCAGTAAATTACTACATCTATACAACAACAACGCAAATCAAGTGTAATCCCACAAATAGGGTCTGAAAAGGGTAGAGTGTACGCAGACAGTACTCCTACTTTTGAGAGGTAAAGAGGTTGTTTGCTCAGCTAATTGCAGCATGTATACAATAACGGAAAAAAACAACATAACCAGTGTATCCCACAAATATGGTCTGGAGAGGATATAACGTACGCATACCTTATCTCCTTCCTTGACAAGTAGAAAGCCTAACTATTTCCGATAGACCCTCAGCTGATTATTACATCAATTAGTAAGTAAACTAAAGGAACTAGAATTATACCTGGTCTCTGCTAAAAATTGAGCTGGAGTTAAACGATCTGCGTCTCTCAATAGTCTTCATTTGAGCTGTACTCCTCTCAAGACAATCCTCCATAGCCCTCAGCTTCGCTTCCTTCTCCGCTCCTTTAGTATTCCATTCATCCCTAAGTTTCGCATCCCTTTTCTGCATATACATATCATAGAATTTCCCCGGAGAACCCGCAAAACCAATTAACTCATGATCAGAACTTTTTTTGTCTATATTAATACTATCATTGTCAAATACTTGATCCTCCAGAAAGGCGCCGCCGGCATTGTCAATAGCTGATGGCCAGCTTTGCATGTGACCATGCCTACTAGTTTTGCTTCTGGTAAAATAATTAGATTGATAATTTCCAGCTGACGTAGGAGTGCGCAATTGATGCTCTGCGAAAAGCTTTTCGAGTTCATTTGCTTTTATTTTCAACTCATCATTCAGCTCCTGGTTTCCTTTTGATTGCCGCACCCTTCGAAATTGCTCCGCAGACGGTATGATTAATGAATTGATTCTTTCATTTGCCATATGAGACGATGGGTACGACATTATCCTTCCCTTTTATAATACGAATATGGGTGTTGTGACGATGATTGATGGATGAGGAGGAGTGTTAAATCTCCTCCTCGTTCACCTCGAAATTGTCAACAATGGTGACTTTTGTATTGCTTTTGTGGTGATCAAGTTAAACGTTCAATTCTCAGGTACGTAGCAATGGGGAATGGAAGGAGGAGAGGATATTGGGATGATGACACGTGGAGGGTTGGGATTAGTCGTCTACGTAAGAGGGGGTGTTGCTGTTGTTGTGTTGGGAGAGATTCTCGGCAAGGTAGAATGGGGTCGGGTCGATCCAGTTGGTTCGTTTGATCTAGATAAATGGACCTGGACCTCTTTGATGTACATGTCCCATCCATATATAAACAAGGGGATTTTTCACAAATTCCACGGCGTTAAAAAGAGCAAATTACATTTATTTCTATTCTTTTTCAAATTACAAAAATCTCTTTAATTTGGTGGAATACATATACATCCCAAAATGTCCCAATTTTGAATACATCGCTCAACGTTCCGATACATCGTGTCTCGGTTTCGGATTCATCACTCAACTTCGTGGTACATCGTATGTGTCCCGATACACAACGTAAAGTGATGTATCCAACTGATATATTGCGTAAAATGATGTATACGACCGATACATTGCGTAAAGTGATGAATTCGAGAATAGGAGAGACTTGGGATTTTTGTAATTTTTTCAAATGATAGGAAATTTTAAAGAATATGGTAAAATAAGTTGTGTAGTTAGGTAATTTTTCGATATGAAAAGACTTCTAATGTTTATTAATCCCACCACGTTACTCTTATTTCATGGTGATCTTTAATTTTTGTTTGTGATCTTTTATTTTTACTTTTATTGCACATTTAATGAAAGTTTGTGAGTCAACAGATTTTATATGATTTAGCTAATTTTGCTTCATGGGGCATAAGTTTTGTGGTATCTGATTTGTAGGGCAAGACTTCTTTAAAACTTTTCTTGGGGCATAAGTTGGTCACTAAACTTATATTATGTGGCATAACTTTTGCCACTAAATTTATGCATTGGGCATGGTTTATGCCACTAAACTTATGATCTAGAGAAGTATTAGAGGAGCTTGTTAAATTCAAGTAATGCAAATACATAAGATAAAATATCGAGTTCGGAGCCAAAAGGGCAAAAAGAATTGTCAAAAGTTTCAAAAGGGCACATCAAATTTTTTTAAAACCAAAAGGATAAAATCGCTCCTGACGAAGCAATTTCCCTCTGACACAATTATTAAAAAAAAATTATTTTTTTTATTTTCACTGCTAGGGCAGCGATTTTGTATAAAAAAAAAATTGTATTAAAAATCTGGCAGCGATTTTGTAAATTTTTATTTTATTTTTTTATTAAAAATTGCTGCTAAAAAAAATATTATTTTTTTATTAAAAATCGCCGTTGTGGCAGCGAGTTTAAATCATAATTTTTTTTTTCCTTACACATCGCTGCAGGGGCAGTGTTTTTCATGCCTAGTGCTATTATTTTCATGCCTATTGTTAATTATTAATAATATAAAAATAATAAACAAGACGGACAGTATACTCAAAAAAATTGTTGAAGCATGAGGAAAATTGAATTATATATCATAAATAATAATAAAAGAATATTAAATTTGAATTTTTTTATTTTTTTTTAATTCTTAACCAAAATCAAGAAAAACAGATGTTTTTTTTTTGAGAAAATCGCTGCCAAGGCAGCAATCTTAGCAGCGATTTTTATTTTTTTTAATCGTACGACAATTTTTGTTAGAAGAAAATCGCTCCTGAAAATCGTACGACAACTTTTGTCAGAAGAAAATCGCTCATGAAAATCGTTCGACAACAGTAAAATTTAATATTCTTTTATTAATATTTATGATATATAATTCAATTTTCCTCATGCTTCAACAATTTTATTGAGTATACTGTCTGTCTTGTTTATCACTTTTATATTATTAATAATTAACAATAGGCATGAAAAACGTTGCCTGCAGTGATGTGTAAGGAAAAAAAAAATTTGATTTAAAATCGCTGCTGTGGCAACGATTTTTAATTAAATTTTTTTTTTTTTTTACAAAATCGCTTCCCTAGCAGCGATTTTTGTCATTGTGTCAAAGGGAAATCGCTTCGTCAGGAGCGATTTTGCCCTTTTGGTTTTTAAAAAAATTGATGTGCCCTTTTAGAATTTTTGACAATTTTTTTTACCTTTTTAGCTCCGGACTCATAAAATATCCTTGCATACTATATTATTCATAACCACCTCAAGTTAGAAGAAAATTCATGTGAACATACTTGATCCAATTTTACATGTTATAAAATGAACCCTATGTTAGGAAAAATATATTTTGTGATACATGAATCGTATTTGATATATGTATAGGAAATTAATTTCTCATATGTATTATTTAGTTTGTTCATGAACTAGGGAAGATGGAGGTTCATGAACTAGATTGGAAAGGTAACAAATATCTAGAATTAAACCATGGTACATGTACTAGAGAGATACATGTCAAACACATTTTTGAAACGATATTGATTGATTATGTAAGTCGAATAGAATTAAAAAAAATTATTGTCTCACTTGTCTTCAATAAAGAATTTAATTGATTGAGAGTGTTTCTCCTCACCTATTTTTCATCACGTGTTACACTCTAGATCCACAATTGTAAAGGAAGTATGTGTTACAAGCTAAATCAATCCTCATTACAGGTGAGAAATGGAGTTAATTTTCTAGATGGTCATCCAAATATTGTGTCTATAAATACCATTTTTGTGTTTTTCAAAAATAATAAAATCACTCGGTTTTCATTATTTTTCTCAATCCTGATTGACATGTCATATCATTGAAATCTCATATAATTTTATAAATAATGAATTTATTAAATCCATTTAGTCAAACTCATGTCTTATACCTGATCAAATATGATATCGTTACAAAAATACATAAGTGACTGTGGGTAATTCCCAACACTTGAATTACAAACTTGTAGACATAAAGAAACTAGGGCCGTATACTTTTCAAATTTAAGTTATATATGTAAAAAATTATTTTTAGCTAAACTTTAACATGTAATGACATATTAGACACATAAAATGTAAATGTAAATGGAAACGAATTTGGGTTAAATCTGAAAAAGAACTACGTACTAAAAAATTAATGGAGATGCGGGGGATCGAACCCCGTGCCTCTCGCATGCAAAGCGAGCGCTCTACCATTTGAGCTACATCCCCAATTGACGACTTTCATCGGTATCCAACTTATTTAACTGTATTATTTGTATCATCCTTTTCTTTTCGAAAATGACAAACTTGGACGAATGGAGTATTAATTTTGGTAGGGAAAAGGCTCAAATATGCCATCTAATTTTAACAAAGGATCATTTATGTTATCCGTTAAAAGGTTGGCTCATATTAGGACCGAAATAAGCAGGTGTAATGCGGAAGCTAGCAAAGCAAACCTCGAAAGACCACAAGTAAGAAGACAAACGAGAAACACATCAAAAGAGACAGATTTAACGTGGTTCGATCAATCAACCTACGTCCACAAAGGAGATGAGCAATCCACTATAAATATGAGAGTACAAAATATAGAGAGAAACAATCTCAACCAATTCACTCGGAATACAAGGAGGTACACAAAATTCTCCTCCATAACCGCGACTCTCAAAACCCTAGGACTACATTGTGAATGTTAATTAAGTTAGAAGGAACAAGTGTATATTTATAGAGTTCTAAAACCTTTCCTACAAGAAAATGACTACTCAAAATTTTAAAACTTATTTATGGTAAGAAATCAGGGCAAATAAACCCCAACAACTCATGCCATTTCTGTTTGAGAAAAGACTCATCCATGCCAAAATTTGTCAAGTGAAATGGCATAAATGAACTAAACTTTTAATGGATGGCATAGATGAGCCTTTTTTCAAAGTTCGACGAAAAATTTGAACCTTTTCTCTTTTTAAAAAAATGATTTTAATGAATGACGTGGCCGTATTATAATTGACCACGTGTAAAAAAAGATTTTGCAAAACGAAAACTATTTTTAGTCAACAAAAAATGACATGGATGAACCTTTTCTCAAATGGAGATGACATATATGAGCCAAACTTGTAAAAATGGCATAGATGAACCTTTTGTTAAAGCGCGGTGATATATTTAAGCCTTTTCCATTTTTAGTAATTCAACTCTGTATCTTTCGTTTGTAATTAAAAAAAAAAAACCCCAAAAGATGTCTTTCAACTATATAATATAAAATAACTTTGCCCTTCGTTGATTTTTTTTTAATCATAAACCGTACCTTTATCATTGGTGGGGTGGCTTAAATTTGCCTCTCAATTATGCAAACTAAGAACAAATTTACACATTGCTTAAATTTGGTCTCAAATGTGCCCTTGTTGAATAATGTTTTTCTTTTTAGCTTTCCACTCTGTATTTGATACATGTATTGGGGTCTAACTCAATTTGAATCTACGCATTTCATTCTCAAGGGTTCAAACTTGACACCTTAATCAGAGTGAAAGGATCTCAACTATTCCACCACAACCCATGTTAGTTATCATTGAATAACTTGCTCAAATTTGTCCATCAAACCATTCATAAGAACTACACTCCATGTTATATACACAACAAAAAATAGAAGAAGATAATTACACCAATATATTAACTAACTTAGAGCTTCATTCAAGTATTTATTGAAAGAGCATTATTAAGGTGGAGTACATCAAACTCACAACCATATTATAAAAACAAAAAATTAAAAAAGCATCACTCCAAACAGATGGAGGAAGCAGTTTATAAGAAAAAAATTAGTTAAAATCTCCTACTTGTAGTTTCTCTCTCCCTGATATTATTAACATAATCATCATCTATTTGATGCAAGAGATTCCTTCACTACTCTGGAACCTTCTTATTATTATTTTGGTATATACACTAATTAATATGTACATATTAGTAATAATTATACACCATTGCAGCAGTCATTTCTTCACACAAAAATA